GGCCTGCTGTGTGCTGCATGGAGGGTAAGCGTGGAGAGGCAGACCTACTCTGTAATGAAAGAATGAGAGTACAGCTAGCACTTTTACAGGTGTTGCAGATCTAGTGAAAGACTGAGTAGGAGACACATGGGATCAGGAATTTGTCCTTAAACACTCATGAGAGCAGCAGGGTAGACGATGGACTGAAGGGAGATGGGAGTCAAGGCCTGGGAGTGTGCTATTTCAAAGGGCTAGGGATTTGCAAAGCTAAGGCCTGGGCTCAGGAAGAGGAGAACAGCTCTAAAAGCCATAAAGGCCCAATTAGACCTGGTGAAGGTAAACTAAACGAACTCCAGGTTGGCACAGACCTGGACAGTTGCATTATTAAACTGAATTAAACATGATGCCAAGGGTGAGGGCTTAGGAAGCAATCATGGCTGACTGGATGAGTCCTGGTTTCTGGATTCACTGAGACTGAAAAACTGCAAACTTCCCTACAGAAATCTGGGGCTACAGGGCTTAAATCACAAGATAAATTGTATTATACTCAGTAACACAATTATAGCTAAAATGCTAAACACAGGCAGCAATTCCTAGACATGCAGTCTCTCAGAGATAAGGCATTACCTAAACCAAAAAGTATCTGAAGTCACCCAGGTGCCTTATTTACTACAATAGACCCCAAGAAAATATATGACATATTTTCCCCTTCAGTAAGTATATAATCTTATTAGGTACATAAAACACCAAAAATAAGCATAAGAAAGGATATACAAAGATGTCAATTAAAACCCATAAAAAATATGATTCAAATGTGAATTGGGGAAGAGAGATGTTAAGATCACTGTTAACTGAACCTTCTTAGAGGACACCACCTAATAGTGCGCTCTATTCGCCTCCAGGGTTGGTTTAAACTGTGTACATAGCCACCATGGACAATCAATCAGTATAGCAGGTGTCAGGGAACAAGGACATCCAGGCCTTCGCTATTGGGAAAGAAAGAACATGATGTACATACAGGAAACAAAACTGAGACAACTGAGTCAGCAGTGGGAGGAGACCCTTTCTAATGGGATTTATATGGTCTAAGAGGGAAAGCTGGCAGGTACCCATGAGAAAGGTGACACAGAAGGTGGAATGATGGCTCAGTGATATGATGAAGCACTGGAGTTTCAGGCCAAGAAAGGAAAGGAAGCAAAAACCATTATTACTAAATCAATAAAAATGAAGAAATCATAAGTCTGTTCATTTCTGTGCCTTAATCCCATGTCACGGAAAAACCCAGCATAGACAAATTGATAATCATGTTGGTAGAGCAAGCTACAGGAGGGCAGTCTCTTCTAGGTGAGTGGTGATGTCTTCTGGGCAAGCACTCCTGGAGAGGCTGCTTCCACTGTTTTATTGCCAGGTGCCTCTTAAGGAGAGGTCGGGCTGCTCTGAATGTGTTTTAGTGGATTTTAGTGCTTCCAAATCTAAAGTTTCAGTTTTTAAAACCAGGGCAATTCAATATTTCCAAGTTTACCAATCTCTAAAAGCCAAATAAATACTAGATACCTCAGTAATTATTACACTCTGAGCTTGAGAGAAGGTTCTTCTTGCCCCCATTTAGTTGAAACACCTAATGAGCCATATGCCAAAGCATTTAACCTGTAACAATATCTATCCTAAAATGTGGCAGGATGAGCTTAGAGAGAATGATTGATTCCATAGCATCTGCCTTTATTTTTATTGAAAGTGACAGGGACAGGAAATATAAACATTATGATTTAACAGTGAGTTGACCAAGTTGCTATTTACCAAATAACTACTTAACATATCTTAACTTGTTTCAGCATTCTATGCAGGGTAGCTAATCCTCCCAATCCTAAATTCTTGCCATGTCTATGTAGCATGTGACATAACCCAGGTACTGGTTCTCACCTACTGCAATAAGACACCCCAAAAGTATTTTATCTCCTCTTCCACTACAAGTATTTGAAAAACAAACTTTAAGACATGTAAGTTTTACTGAAAGAATTGTACACAACAGTCATCCAACTAAAATTCTGTCATTATAAAGTATATGGTACTAGAGGTAATCATTACAGAAGAGCACAGAATAATTTTCATTTAAGAAGTCATTACCGTCAATCTTTATGGAAGAAGAGAGAGCTATCTGCAACGGCCCACTTTGAAGAGTCACAAATCATTACAAAAATGAGTACAATATAGTAAGTACTAATTGTATTAATGGCACTTAAGATTTTATACAAGGAGAACCTTGTCATTAATTAGTTCTTCAATATGTAATTCCTGTTCCTTTACGAAATTAGTGGAAGAAATAAAATGATCATTTCTGGGAAAAGCCACTGTGAGGTTTAGATATCCTTTTCTATTACTTTTGACAAGCTATTGAAATTCACACTCGTTTCTTAGACTTCCGTTGCTGCAATTATTGACTGCTTTGGCAGAATATGCTGTAAAGGGGAAATTACAGAACAATGTGACTTTCTGTATTAGAAAAGAGGAAGAGAGATTTATTCTAAAGGGGCTTAGAATAACATTAAAGATAAAGGTTAAAACAGACTACTCATTCTTGCTTTTCATTATTTAAAATAAAATACCATAATTACTTTTCTAATTTCCAAAGAAACTCCTACAGTATGTAATTCTATCATTGCTAGCCCACACGAGATGTAGCTACCCTTAAGTTAATATGAAACAGATAACACTTTCTAGCCAAGCAAAATGTCCATTTTCAAATCCTTTATCCTTTTTCTCAATTATAGAGTATACTACAGCCTTGCTCAGTGACAAATATAATTGAGAAGGCACTAGCATATAATGAAATAATGCAAAATTTAATCATTAATTTTCCATAAAATAGTTTTCAGTATTATTTTCAAAATAATTTTAATGTTTCAATAATGGGCAGCTAATGTTTACTGAGTACTCACTATAAGTCATGCAGAGACCTAAAAACAGATTATCTAGAAAAAAAAAAGAATTGAACCCTCATGACAGACAATTCTATGAGGTTTCACTAGATATTCGCATTTTACATACAGATAAGGAAACTGAGGCTTAGCAAAATTAAGTGGCCACACAGCTATTAAGTGTTAAAATCAGATGTGAGGGCAACCATAACTGGGGACAAAACTGATTTCTCTCCAACGCCAGAAATACATTATTAGTTGGACAGGGTAGAAAGGTCTGGTCCTATCTCACTGCACAGCATTAGCAGAAGAGTATAAGAATGTAGCCATCTCTCTGTTACTAAAAGTAATTGTTACATATGCTTTACAGCTTTAGGTAAATTCATGCAAACAGATAAACTTTTATAAAGTAAGAACCAAGAGTCTTATAAAGTAATAACCAAGATTATGCAGTAAGGACAAGTGTGATACAGGAGAATATTATTAATCTTACAAAAATCTGAAAAACTGCAATGACTCCCAAGGGAGGCACCATTGGCACATGTGTGTGTACACACATGTATGCACACACACATGACTGGGGAACAATTCGTTCTCCATTGTACATGCTGTCCCATGCTTTGTAGTATCCTTAACCCCCACCCGTTAATACCAAAAGTTCCTCCACTTATATACCCCTGCAGTGTCTGCTGACCTGGAAGAAGTAACTGATATTAACTGCATCAGGCACCAGGTACTCTGCTAAATGCATTCACACATAATCATTTAATCCTCATAATCACATATGAGGTAAGCACATATTTTATCCTCATTTTACTGGTTTGGATTCTGAGGCTCTGAGAAAGGTTAAATAACTTAACCAAAGACACACACAGATAGTTTTGAAACCAAGAGACCAGCTCCAAAACTACAATCCTCGGGATTGGTCTTTTAAGCCACAATGTTATGGTAGGCATGCACGCCTTGCCTTTCTTTAAAGATGCTCATTCAGAAAGTATAAATCCCTGTTAGGTAGGACCCATGGTGTGTGCGACATTATGAACCAGGGATGAATTAGTTCCCCTGGGTAGGTATTGAGGGGTCACATGTTTAGGGAAGTAGTTACATGATGTGGGTGTCAAAGATTTGGGGTGGGTAACTCCTATGCACAGATATATATCAGAAGTGCTTTGAACCTTTGTATTTTCAAGGGGATAGAATTGGGCAATATTGGGCAAGGTTTATTTGTTCTGTTTAACACTTCTACAGTGTTTACTATGCACCAGGCGTGGTTACAATTGCTTGACAATATCTCACTTCAGCATGTATGTTAGGTAATGAATGGGGCAGAGTGTGCAACTGTGTGTGTGAAGTGTGGTGGCCTGGTGCTGGAAGAGGAAAGGTCAATTGTGATGTGTCTACAGCGGCAGTTTGTGTTGTGATAAACATGGTCGTATTTGAGGCTGGGGGAAGGGCTATGCTAGATAATTTGTGTGCAGTGCATATGGGAAGTGCTGCATGAGAAAGACTGTAGTTCACCTCACATGTGCTTTTTGTGCATGGCGGGTAGTGCTGAATATTGGACGACTTCCACAGGGAAGGGGTCAGGATTATGTCCTGGGCTCAGGTACTCTGCGTGGAGACGCTGTAGACGGGGAGTGCTTTCCGTGTACAGCGTTTTGTGCTGGCAGTGGTGCACACAAGATGATTCATGCGGTGTGCTGGGTCGGTAAGGGGGCTGGAGAGGAAGGGGTCCGTGTCGTGATGTGTGTGGGGAGCGATGCTGAGTGCGATAGAAGGGGTGCCGTGCTAGGTGACCCTCGAGTGTTCCTGATGTAGCCCGGGCGCTGTGGGAGGAAAGGCGGTATAAAGAAGGGTGGGGTAGGGATTGGAGGGTAGAGGCTAACGCCAATTTAGTAGCTGTAGGGGAAGATCGGGGTGTGCTGTGAGACACCCGGCCGGTGGCGGAGCACCGAGGGCGGAGGGTCTGCGAGCGTCTGTAGGGCAGCCAGCACGCCTCCTCACCCACAGCCCCACCGGGCCGAGCTCCCAGCCACCACAGCCCGCCCACCCTTCCCCTTGGACGAAGAGGGCGCCTCCCGAGCGGCCCGGCCTTGCCAGTGTCACCTGGTGAAGGCGAAGTACATGAGGCTGACGATGGTGAAGCTGAGCAGGGTGATGGTGTGCGGCCGGTAGAAGAAGTCGATGGTGATGTCCTCCACTTGCTGCTCGTTGATCATCCGGAAATGCATCTTGTAGTTCACATCATCTTTGCTCAGGGTCCGGCTCCCCACGCAGGACGCCATGACCCGCCGCCCCGTCCTGCGGCGGCGGCGGCCCCGGCCCGTGTAGGCTGGGACCCCGGAGGTGACGAGCCGCAGGGGGAAGGAGAGCTGCCGGACGGCGGGGCCGGGTCTGGCGCGGAGGGAAGGTTGGGAGCCGAGAGGAGGGCAGGCGCGGAGGGCGGGGTCGCGGCGCCGCCGATGCGGCGCCTTGAGGGGGACGCCGCCGACCGTGCCCGCCCTAGAGACCTGGAAGAGGCATTTCTGTGGACTCGCTGTGTCTCCGGACTCTCAGCGAACGAGGCCTATGGGAAGTGGCGCGCGGGAGAACGGAAGCTGCTGCCCCCAGCCGGCTCTTTCCCTCGAAGGCCGCCCGATACCCCCGCACAGCCTCGAAGATGGACTCGCCTACTCCGGCGCAGTCCACGTGGGCCCAGGCGCGCGGCGGCGCCAGCCTGCGGACCTGGTGCGCTAGCGGGCGCGAGGTGGCGCGGGGCCGTAAGCGCGGCCTAGCCAGCCTGGCAGCCCCCGCAGCGCAACCCACGAAGCACGGGCCTCGCCTCAGGTAAAGCCGGAGGCGCCGGAGCGCGGGGGGCGCACTTCCTCCTTGGGCTTGTGTCCGGGCCCACCAGTGATCGGCCGCGCTCCGGGGCCTCATGGCTGTTAGGCATTTGCGGCCCTATCGGGAATGATGTGTTCTGTTTTGCTTGGCTCTTCCCTGACTGACGAGACAAAAAAAGACACCGTCCTGTTTATTAGCGCACTTTGCGGAGGATGCAGCAGGCGGGCGGCATGTCAGCGGGCTTCCTGCGGAAGTTGGGTGTGGGGAGCTGAGCGGACTTGGCTAACGCGGCCTGGGGAGGGCCTCGAGCAGTAGCTCAGGATCCCTGTAGCACGGAGCCGTCCTCCCACCCTCCCTTTCACTTCCGGTGGTTGGTTGCCTTGCAGAGGTAGAAATCTTGAACCTTCGAAAACCAGTATTTCAGTGGCAGTTCCTATTCCCAGCGAGTACAGGTCAAGGCATACAGTTGAGAACTCGTATATGATATGTTTATGGACTTAATTCTCTAAGCTCTCTAATGCTTTAAGAAAAATTCTTTTTTCCTTTACCTGTTAAGAGTCATGTAAGAAAGCTTACTGTTATCCCTGTGCAGGGCTTTTGTACACATCTGCAAATGTCTTACCTGCTCTTGAGTACGGTGTAGGCAAATGGATTAGCTGTAGTTAGAAATGATTCATTGCCATCCAGCAAACACTGGATCCGTGCTGGCCTCTGGACTAACGGGGAGTAGTCACTGGGAGGGTGGATCTGGAGATGAGACGCAGCCCAGCTCTTCGGGAACGAAGAATTAATGAATTGTTAAGAGGTATACACAGTCATGAAATGATGTAGAGAAGATTGTGCGCCTGTAATAAAAGTATAATCATTAGTTGTATGCTTAAAGGTCTTATAATGAACGTGGGATTCAAAACTAATCTGCCCGATGTTGGAGGAGTATTAATTTGAGCCTGGAAAGGCTTCAGAGTGAATAGGATTTCAAAAGTTTGTTTTGAAAGAGGGCAAAATGCTTTGACGAACTTAAAAGTCAAAACACTTTAAAGCTTTGACAAACTTAAAGTCAAAACAAAGAATCATTTTATTGTACTCAGTAACCTTTAAAAATGTTGTTTAAAGAATGGTTTTTGAGCTTCCATCATGGGCCATTGTGCTAAATCATCACAAGAAACAGCCTTGTCAAAGTAGCGTAACTGAGTAATTGGCTCCCAGTTATCACCCTTCTGACTTTGTTGTGTAGAGAATGAATGCTGTAGGTTTGAGGAAAAACTTGACAGATGTGGAAGCCCATTTCCTACCAAAATTAACAAAAATCACATATTCCACAAGGCTATCATGAATACTTACTTCCTTTCTAAAATCAGTTGAGATGATGAGATTTTAATTTTTATAAATGTCCTTCAGGAAACTTCCCTAAACTTCAATTATTTAGTCTTATTTAAAGCATAAAATAAGCTGAGTTCCCTTATGTGTAAAAGTAAATCAAAAAGTTGTATGCAACAGTTAATTGAGCAGAATTCATGTATATTTGGTTGTGTAATCAATAATAATAATAATAATGGCTGACATTTGTTAACTATTTTCCATATGCTGGACTCCATGCCATGATTTTTATGGATTCACTTATTTAATGTAAAAGTATATGCATCAGATTTACCTTTCTAATTAGGCTGGCTAAATATAAAATTCATTCATATACCTGTAGCTTAAAGAAGTGACAGCCTTTCCAGATAAAAATCTTCTTAAAAGCAACTTCTTTTTCAGTCAAAATATGCATGTATTCATTGCTGGTTGTTTATGTATTTCCCTCACTTCACTTTGCTTGCTATTTTTGACCTTTCTCTTTTGAAGGCTTTTCTTTTTCCCTGCAGTCAAACAGAATTTGACAAAATTGGTTTTGTTCAATTCTCTGCTGAGAACAGCTTTCTCTGTGAACTAATTAACAGTGTTCAGCCCTGAGGATGAAGCCAGAAACAACCTTCTAGATAGAAATGACAATATTTTGATGATTCATTTAAGACACAGTAGACTTCTTCCTGTTCTTTATTTTGTGACTAATATATATGCATCAAATATATTTGAATAGTTCAGTGTTATTTTGATCAGCAATCTGCCTCTTAAATGTCCTTCAAACCAAATTTCAAGAACACTTATTGCATCACCTTATTTTTGTTAAATATTATATTAATGAAGGTTATTGGGTTTGACTAATTTGAACATTTACAGATTTTTTTTGTTCTAAATGTTTTACACCAGTAATTTTGCTATTCATTTTTGAATTGTAAAGAATATCTTTTTTTTTTCCAGCTCAAAAATTCTGTCTTTGGGTTTGTAGCTGAGGCTGTCTTGTTTTTGGCTTTTCCTGTGCTTAGAAACATTTGACTGCTTTAATCATCTAAAATTATTCAACACCTTTTAATTAAAAAAAACATTTCCAGTTTATCTTTTTTTTGTTTGAATACTGATTTAAACATTTAAGTAAAGTAAGTTTCTCTTTTTTGATGGTTGTGTATTTTCTTCATAGGCTGCTTTAAGAAAAATGGCCCTGCCAGCCCACCAGATACCCAGATGGTTTAACTCAATTAAATTGAGTAGCTTCATTACCTGTGCACAACTTGGAAAATGTTTTCAAAGACCAGGAAAAACACTGTTACATGGCTTTTCTGCCCAACCTCAAATGTCCTCTGAGGATTGCTTTCTCCAGTGGGGATTGAAGACTTACAGGACTTTGTCCTTATGGAATAATTCCCAGTTTACCAACTCAAGGAAGCAAGAGATTAATTCTGCCCAAAGCACTCTGCTTCCTTCTGTGAATGAGCAGTCACAGAAGACACAAAATATATCCAGCTTTGATTCTGAGCTTTCTCTAGAAGGTAATTCTGAACTTTCAGAAAAGTCCCCTTTGCCCCACTTTGGTAGTGTGAATAGGTTACCTGTTTACATTCTGTTAGCCCATTTCAAGTCATACTTTGTACCAGGCAAGAAAAAGAACAGGGCCAATACTATTTGTTTACTTGTATTATACCTTTATTTTATTAAGAAAAAAGTTTGTAGAATAATATGTATAACATTATTTTACAACTCTATATGTAACATTTACTTTCTAAGTATTTTATTATTTAGATTCTTAAAAACATTTTTTTTTGAGAATGGTAGTATTAAGGTTTATTAGGGTATAATTTATACTAAGTATAATTCATCTTTTTTAGATAGTTATGAATTTTGACATATACGTAGTGTGTAACATGCACTGCAATCAACAAATAAAAGAACAAATAGAACACCCCAAAAAGCTCCCTGTGTCACTTTTTTTTTTGGTATCATTAATATACATTAATATACAATCACATAATCAACATTGTAGTTACTAGATTCCCCCCATTATCAAATCCTCACCACATACCCCGTTACAGTCACTGTCCTCCCTTTGTCACTTTTTAATCCTCTCCCTCTTATGCTTCCTATTCTAGGAATATTCCTATGCAAGAAATATTTCACAACAAGTGAGATAATTTTAGGTTAAGCAAACCATAAAAGGAAGGAAGTCGATATGTATAGGGGAGTGTGGGGGAGACAAGAAAAGATAGCTATAAAAAATGAGAAAGGGTGGTGTTCAGAGGCAAAAACTAGGGGAAACAAATCTAATACTTATTCCTTAGCTTAAGGTAGGTTACAGTTGCCAGCATCTTCCATATTGTGTTTGATTTAAACAAACCCAAACCTTAGAATCAAGTCTACTGTAGGGGATCATGTCCTTAGCAGAAGACTACAGGTAGTAGAAACAGAATCGTAGAAGTCCTCTTAATGACATATTTGAGAATAACTTGGAGGAGAGGGGATTGGATCGAAACAGATATTTCAGGATGTGATGGCTTTAATCCATACAATTCAGGCTGGTAGAATATGTCATTCTTTTGGCTAAGTTAACAAGCCTTGGCAGAGTCAATCTCTTTCCCAAAAATGTACTTGAAGGTGAGTTCATCTTTAGTGTTCTTAGCTGTTGTTTAAAAGAAGAAAAGAAGAAAAATTTTGTACAGGACTTCCTCCTTTTGGAATAGAAATTTACCAACTAATTTCTTATTTGAGTAACAGAAAGTGATCAGTCTAAATTAGTCTTAACCTTACCTCTTAGAAGGTAGAAATTCTTTGGACTTCTTAGATGTTTCATTCAGAGATGATCCCAAGATTTACAAAGAAGCAATCTAGGGAAGACATTGCTTGTCTTTGTAGAAATAGCTCTAAGTATACAGATTGGAGAGCTCACTTGCTTCTCTCTTTCCACATAACTGTCTTCAAAGAACTGGACGATTTGCCCCCATTGTCTCCATTACAACCGATTTCTGAGGAGGAAGCTGTCCAGATTGTTGCAGACCCTCCATTGCCCCCAGCTTCATTCACACTTCGAGACTATGTGGATCATTCTGAGAATCTGCAGAAATTAGTGCTGCTAGGTAAGTCTGAGTAACCTACAGGTACTTCTTGAGTGTACCTTTATTATTTTTTTTGCCTTACTTTGTTTAAGTTAACATTTTAAATCTTTACCAGAGTAGTACATGCAGATGAACGTAAATCAAATAATGTGAAAAGGCTTCTAGTGAAGAATCATTCT